GTATAGCGAGAGAAGTTTTGAGTAGCTCTTATATTGTCCTAGTATTGACCATGGCACAATAGAAATGCATCGTCATTGTCAATACTAACCAAAAGATAAGAAAAGATGCAAGCATGACTTGTAAAAGTACTGCTAATAAAAGATCTCGTTGAGTTCTTAAAGTGAAATAAGGAAAGTGTACTCTTAAACGGATCAAGAAATAACTTTGTTTACATGACATAATCATATGAATGAAGTAAGTTATAGGTGTCTCCTTGTTCACGAGCTTTCTGAATAGTTCTCGAAATTATGGCAGTAAAATTCATGCCATATTTCGAGGGGGAGAATAATAATATCAATTAAGAAAGATACTCTTCATTAAGAGTGAGATAAAGATTAATTAAGATAAAACCATTGGAGGAGTACAACGGTCACAACAATGATACCCCTAAGCAGAGAAATAGCTAAATTCTCAGACCTTTTAAAGTTCCGACAGGAAGATAGCGTAGTCAGCCTCAAAGATGTTAAGGTGGTGCTTAAAGCGCCATATGAGGTTTTAACAAATTAAACCCAAAATAAGATATTTGAAGATACACTATCTTTAGAAAAGATGGAAAGATCTGGGATAGCATGGTATGTAGAGGTGTCTAGAGACCTAAGACTTGAAGAGAAAAGGGACTGCGTGCCCACTCCAGTGACTCAGGAGCAACAAATTTCTCAATACCTGTTAATGTTGTATGACTAATACAATACCTGTTGTTAGCTCTTCGAAGAAGATGAATAATGTAAATAAGGATCTTATAATACAGGAGTCTGTATAATCAATTGCCTCTTGGCAATGAAGAGCAACAACAGCCCTATATGAAAGTGCCAGTAACTGAGGCCCCAGAAGGTCTCAAAAAATTAGTAAACCAGTTTTTTGATGACTATAAAGTCTATGTTAGTAAAAAAATTTAAATGGTGGGTGACCCCACCTCATTTAAAGAAGCCATGAGAAGTGTTTACTTGTTTAAATGGAAAGAAGCTATAGAAGTTGAAATGAATTCGATGAATACCAACGATGTTTGGGACTTAGAAGAAATTCCTAATAGAGCCAAACCAGTAGGCTATAAATGGGTCTACAAGACAAAATGTGACTACAAAGGAAATGTAGAAAGATATAAAGCTTGACTTTTAGCAAAATACTTTATGCAAAGAGAATGAATAGATTACAGTGAGAGTTTTCTCTCTAGTCTCATGCATGGATTCTTTTAGAATCATTATGGTGTTATTGGCGCATTACGATTTAGAGTTACATTAGATGGATGTAAAGACGTCATTCCTCAACGGAAATTTGTATGAAAACGTTTACATGGCACAACCCAAAAGTTTTGTCGTGGAAGAAAAAGAATATATGGGATACCGTTTATAGAAATCCATTTATGGGTTAAAAGTAAGTCTCTAGACAGTAGTATTTGAAGTTGATGAAACGATAAGAAAGTTTGGGTTTAAAGAAAATGAGAAGGACAATAGCGTTTATGTGAAGTTCAAGAATGAAAAATTCATTTTCCACATCCTGTGAATAGATGACACTCTACTCACTAGTAGTGATGTTAATCTGTCGTTGGAGAAGAAGTAGTTTTGTCCTCAAGTTTCAATATGAATGATCATGGTGAAGCGTCATTGGTTCTAGGAATCAAAATTCACCGATATAGAATAAAATGGGGTATTAGGACTATCGCAAAGGCATACTTAGAAAAGATTCTAAAGAAATAAAATATGCATGCGAGTAAACCTATGCCTACTCCTGTAAATCAAGGGTAATAGATTTGGGAACTTTAAGTGTTCCAAAAACTGATATGAGATCGATCAAATAAACATGGTTCCATATGCTTCAGCTGTTGAAAGCTTGATGAGTGTACAAGTACAAGTAAGAAGTTACCCTAACGTAGTTTACGTATCTGGGATATTTTGGCAGAACTCCAGTCCAGATATAGATCACTGGAATATAGTTGAAAATGTCTTGCAATTTGGCAATGTATCATAGGCCTCATACTGAGTAAGAAAGAACAAGTACTCTTAAATAGTTGATGGTACAAATGTTAAATCTTAGCGAGATATGTAGTGAAATCCACAACAGTTGCTAACACTCGTAGTTAGAGTATTATTGTGGAAAAGCTCTAAAGAAACAGTTGTGGTGTCATCAGTGATGCATACCATAGTATAGCTTGACATGAGGCTTAAGGAATAAGCAAAAGGAGGTTAAGAGAATTTGTACCCGGATTTAACAATGGTAGACAACAATAATAACCATTTAAAGTAAGTTAACTTCTAAGACAACAGGTCAAGTGTGCTGCCAAACACATTGACACTAAGTTATATGTTGTAAAGGAGAAAATTCAGAATTATTCTGAAAGCATTGAGCACATAAATACCGAGTAAGTACTTGCGGATCCGCTTACCAAAGGCTAACCACCCAGTGCGTTCAGAGAACACACAGTCGACATGGGTTTATGAGAAAGCCTATGATTTCTGGATACTAAGGGCCTAGTTGAGTATCTGTTTTAAAACAGAGAGGTGCATTATAGCTGTTAAATCTAATGGCAACTGACCGTGATGATGAGGCACGCTCTATACACTGATCTGTGATGGAATGAGAATAAAATAAAGTAAGTTAAGTTTAAGTCATAAGGTGAAATCAAAGGGGAGAATGTTAGTTTGATCTCCACCAATTGGTCCAACGGCCAATCAGACCCCTTGACCGCATCTTGATCGGGGACGCTTAACCGACCATTGGTCGACGGGTCCCTGTCACATAGCGCTATATAAAGAGAAAGGTGCGGGCCAAGGCACTGGGGACGAGGTTTACCGCCGCCACTGACCCACCAAAGAACCCTAGAAGCCCCTCCGATCGCGGGCGCGCTGCAAGTGACGGGAAGCACCGCCGGCCGCGCCCCCGTCCTCTGGACTCTACCGGGCTGCACTACGTTCTTCCTCCTCTACCTCCTCTGACAACCCCGAAGGTATGGGCCTCTCTCTCCCCTCTCCCGATTAATGTTCAAGATCGTTTTGAATCAACTAGTACCAGATTCACCCTCTAATCTACACCTAGATGATCCTAAGAACCTATCAATTTCTGGAACATAGGAACGTGGGCCATGTTCCCGTTCCCAGACTGCTAAGGTGTTGGCCGTGTGAAACACGCCATTTTTTAGGAGCAACGCAAACCAAGTCTTCATTTTTTCTTTTGACTCAAGCATTCATATTTACTACCACCCAATTCTCACGAATATGGGGGGGCATATCTATATTAACCCATCCTAACTTCTCGTCAACACTGCGAGTTACCAAGAAAACATATATACACATGTAACAAAAATACTCCCTCCGTCCCAAAAAGATGCAATTCTAAAAAAGTATTATGTTTTTAGTATATCAGGTTTGACCAAATTTATATGGAAATACTTATATTTATCATACAAAATAGTTAGATTCATCATGAAATATACTTTTGTATATAATATATTTGATGTTATAAACATTAATATTTTTATTTATATATTTGATCAAATTTTAGGCACTTTAGAATTGTATTTTCTTAGGGACGGAGGTAGTATAAGGAAAGTGGCAATTTAGCAGACTAGGAAGTGGCACACAGGGGCAGAGTGGCAGAGGGTAGCGACGAAGTCGTTGTCGTATCAAGGAAAAAAATGGTAGGAACTATCTTTATGGAACACTTGATGGTATTTGTTGCAGATTCATGATATATGTTCATATGCAAGCATCTAATAAATAGCATTGTTACATAAATTTAAGAATAGTTAAAAAGAAATTTTTTACATCTTAGGTGTTGGACCTTGAGTTCGCGCTAGGTATCCTCGACTTCCCTATGAGACCAGTCCTCACTATTTTCTTCACTAACGAAAGTTGAAGATCAATCTTAAATCTTTAGGTGTTTTTAGATCTTTAGGTGCTTTTTCCTTATAAAAGAGGTACAGTACAGGGTAGGTTAAGGCGTTGGACTACGGTTTAGTGTTGCTTTATGAACGCTGCTATGTTTTTGTTTGGCATGACTCCTTTCCAAGTGTTTCTCTAGAGGAGATGAAACATTTATGGAGGAGCCCAAATTATAACTACTCCTCTAGGTCAAAAAAAAAAGTATGGCTCCTCCTTCTCCTAAAATGTTTGGTACACTTCCTCCGCAAAAGTTGCTGTCAAAGACGGAGCCCGAGTATATTTGGTATACTTCCGCTTGACCTCTTGCCCTTACACCGATTGTCTATCATGTGTAATATCAAAATATGTTTTCTATTTAAAGGATGGTCTAGCCCACGGCTGTAATCATATAGACCTCTTAGGGCGCTCGTCTGAAACGCATTGTTTATATCAAACATTTCTACCTTAATTATAAAGATGTGCAAATCTTTTACGCATTACAGAAAAAAAAATCTCTTACTTCCTTACAGCAAGGCTGGAGTAGTATACTAGTACTAGTATACATTGAACTTTGTAATAAAGAGACCACGTGAGCCGGATCTTCTTCTCTTCTGGTATTAGGTCATGTTCAGATTTCAGGCATTAACATTATCCTACGGATCTACGGTTGCTCCTTTTGCTGGTATATGAGCAGGAATGGTTGAACAGATAGCATATTTAGGCATTGAACTGCGTAATACTAGTATGTGAGCTACAATCCAAAACCATCCAAACCAGCATATACATTTTACGAGTCTTACAGCGATTACTAAAAAAGAAGCAAGAAAAGAACACCCAGAAAAAAGCTAACAGTACAAGCCAAAGTATCACATTCGGCACCTGATCGATACATATCCAAGATAGTAACACGAAAAGCATATACCCCATGTCGACCTAGTAGTAGCAACTTGCAAGCTGTGACTGGTAGCAACGTCTCCCAAAAGCACAAGCGCTTTCCATTCCATGTAGTACTAGTAGTAGCGCCAGCAGTGTCGTATATGCTCACAGTGAGACTGATACCCCAACTGACTGACTGCCTGCTCCGTCGTCTCAGCCGTCACACGTCATCACACCGCTTGCCGGGGCCTCGCCGTCACGGCCAGCGGGACGGCCATCTCGCACGACAGCTTGAGCACCTCCGACAGGTCGACGCCGCGCGCCGGGTCGGGCGACGGGAGCAGCTCGAACTCGTGCAGCAGCGTCGCGAGCCAGAAAGCCACGGTGGCCATGGCGAGGCTCTTCCCCGGGCAGCTGCGCCGGCCCGCCCCGAACGGCGCGAGCCTGAGGTCCGACCCCATTATCGGGAACTCGGCGGTGGTGGATCCCATGAACCTCTCCGGTTGGAACTCCGTCGGCTCCGCCCACACGTCCGGGTCGTGTGTTATGGCCCACATGTTCACCATGGCGGTGGTGCCGGCGGGGATGAGGTGCCCGTCCACGACCACGTCCGACGTGGCGAGGCGCGCCCACGACAGCAGTGGGCCCGGCGGGTGCATCCTGAGCACCTCCTTGATCACGGCGTGCAGGTAGACCAGTGACGCCGAGTCAGACTCGGTCACGGCCCGGTCGGGGCCGACCACGCGGTCCAGCTCGTCGTGGACACGGGCCTGCACGTCAGGGTGCAGCACGAGCCTGGCCAGCACCCACTCGATCAGCACGGCAACTGTGTCAGTTCCACGGAACACCATTTCCTGCAAAAAGGATGTAACGTTCGCGTGTCATCAGCGTCACAAACTGAAGCATGCGAAGATGCCGGGAGAGGTTACGCAGGGAGTGCGGCGGGTTCAGTTACGCACCCAGAGGACGGCGATCATGTCAGAGTCGGTGAGCCTGTCGTCGGCCGGCAGCGAGAGGAGCACGTCGGTGAAGTCCATGACGGCGGGTGGATCGGAGCGGAGGTCGTTCCGGGCGCGGTGCTCGTCGATGGTGCCGCCGACGAAGCGGTTCACGAGCGGGACGAGGCGGTCGCACCTGGACCTGGTGCTCTGCAGGTCGAAGCGCGCGAGCCAGGGGAGGTGGTCGGACCAGTTGAGCTGGCCCAGCAGGTCGTAGCCTTCGTCCACGAGGCTCCTCAGCTCCCGCGTCTCCGGGCTCTCCTTGGCCGGGTCCAGCTCCAGGTCGTACCGCCGGCCGAACACCGACCACATCACGTTGTGCAGCGACCCGCGGCGCAGGACGCGGCGGACCTCGAAGCCGTCGCGCCCGGAGGCCGAGGCCGCCGCCGACAGCTCCTTCATGGCGGCGACCATCTGGCGCGCGATGACGGCGCGCTGCGCGGCCGAGGCGGCGACCTGCCACGGGGAGAAGAGGTGCGTGGACGCCACGCGGCGCAGCGTGCGCCAGTAGGCGCCGTAGGGCGCGAACCCGATGGCGCGGTGGAACAGGAGCCCGTACGCGGACTCCTTGATGGGCCGGTCCGCGAACGCCGGGCTGTTGAGGATCTCCCGCGCCACGTCCGGGTGCGCGGCCACCACCACACGCGTGCCCCCGAGGGAGAACGCCATCAGGCGCCTGGCGCGGAGGCTGTCCGCCGCCGCCGCGAGCTTGCGGTGCGCCAGGCCCGTCATGAGCCACATGCTCCCGATCAAGGGCAGGCCCCTCGGCCCCGGCACGGCCGCCGCCGCCGCGCCACCGACCAGACGTGTCCGTGTCCACCACCACCTCCCCCACGCCGGACCTCCAGGGAAGCACCAGTAGAGGAGGCAAGTGACGACGAAGGCCACGGCGCAGACCGCCAGGAAGCCGGCGAGGCGGTAAGGCTGGTCGCCGCCGGCGCATTTGGCGGCTAGGGACAGGTACAGCCACCAGCTGCCGCAGTCATCGCGGGTGGCCGCCATGGCTCCTAGCTTCTCGTGTTTCACTGTCCTCTCTCGCTCGTTCGCTGATGCTTGGAACTGGCGCTCGGCTTGAGTGAGGTGCAAGGGCGAGGCGAGGCGCGCTTTTATGGGCTCGAGGCGGCGGTAACGGCAAGCCTGAGCGGTTAAATCGTGTGGCGCCCAAGGGGCGATCGGATGCCCTATGGCATTAACTGCCGGGTTAATGACGAGGCGAGATATTTGTACTCCGCACGGGGAGGTGGGCGCAGCCGCCGCCGCCCGCCGGCACGCGTAACGGGACTGGAGGCTATGCCGGGGCGCGGCGGGGACACGTACAGCTACGGCGGCGCGGTAGGGAACGGAAGGGTTCCCTCGTGGCGCCGAGGGGCGTGGCTGGGCATGTGATAGCCATGCCCATGTATGCAAGAGGATGCACCGCGCCGGCGGCGGGTAGCTAGCACGACATGCGAGACGTGTGGTCGGGTGGGCGATCGATGTATTCGGCCTCTTCGTGTCGTCGTGCGTCGCGCGGGATCGGGCCATCGGGCGGCGGAAGGGCGGCGCTACTCCGCTAGCGTCTTGGGGACGGTCCCCGGGAGCATAGTAACGAATTGAAGTTACCATGATGCTCGGCGGCGCCTGCTCATAATGCGGAACATAATTGAAGGGTGGCGGGTCTTTTCTTCTTTCTCTTTCTATTTTTCTTTTTTCCTCCATCTTTTCTTCTCCCTCACCCTCCCCATATTTTTATTGATGTACTTAGATCCGCCCTTGACTGGAGTACTACGGCTATTGCCGTTCCTGCAAAACTATGGGTTTTTTCTATGATCTCCAGCTTCCGGGTAGTCAAATCTCAGGTGATGATTAGGAATTTGCATGTGATTGTTTCATAACGCCTCCATTTCCACATGACATGAGTGATCACAAAAATTGTCCTAAATTATTGCTGGATCGTACTACTGACTTTGCAAAGATATGTAAGCATTTTGCGCGTTCGAGAAAAAAAAACTGAGTTTTTCTATGATTTCAAGCTTCAGGGTGGTCAGATCTCAAAACCTATATAGTATAAGCTGTAAATTTCAGGTGATGATTAAGAATTTGCATGTGATTGTTTCATAACCTTTGCATTTCCACATGAGTGGTCACAAAGCTTGTCCTAAATTATTGCTGGATCATACTACTGACTTTGGATACGCACAAGAAATTGCTCCTGACTTTGGAGGAGTAATACTCTACTCATAGTCTGACGCATTCGGCCCGAAATTTCGTCCGTGTGCATAGCAGCAGCCTTGATGCGGATCAGGTGCTCGATCGCAGTTACATCAACTCCCAGTCCTCCCAAACATGTGGTAATTAAATAATATTAATATAATACAAGCGATTTGTTCGTTTCAAAGAAAATGTATACTATCGATTTCAGTCAGTAAACAAAACGGCCCGATGGATCCATCCATCAAACCTGTGGTTCGTGAAGCGAGCACCTATCGTCCTTGCAGTCGTCGTCGCTGTCATGTCCCAGTGGCAGATTTGCACTCCCTGTAAAATAACATTTCACGTACTGGTCTCTTCTGCAAGAGTTCCTGTCGTCCAAGATGATCAAGCTTCTTGGATCCGGCTTCCGATCGCGTAAGGGTGATGGGGCTAATGGGGTAATCAGGCGCCGGGCCCAAGGACAACACTACAGCCCGCGTTCGGGACGTCTGGATGGTGACTTGCCTTGGAGCTGTGTTTTCAGGTGATCTTCGACTTGATCGGTAGCCCGTGGCTGTGTTTAGCTGGTGAAATGAAATGTTTTTTTACGTCACATCGGATGCTTTGGGGATGTCGGAAGGAATTTTCAGATACCAATAAAAAAAGCTAATTACATAGCTTGTCTGGAAACTGCGAGACGAATTTATTAAGCTTAATTAATTCATTATTAGCGCATGTTAGTTACCGTAGCCCTTATGGCTAATCATGGACTAATTAGTCTTAAAATATTCGTCTCGCGATTTTCAACCAAATTGTGCAATTAGTTTTTTTTCGTTTATATTTAATACTTCATGCATATGCTGTAAGATTTGATGTGATAGTTTGGGGTAAAAATTTTTGAAACTAAACCCGGCCATGACATGCTACGTCGAGCAGGCATGACATGGGTCAGTGGGTCACAGCTTCCGAACGTCCACAAGCTTTTCCTACCATTTTACATCACCGAACCAGTGCAATAATAGGACGATGATGATAACTGAACGACGGCGCCCCTCTCTCAGCCGTCACAAGCCACACAAAACTGCACAGTTTAGGTACTCTCTAGTTTCTACGCCGCTCTCACCATCGATTTTGCCTGACCCCCCTCCCGGATTGGCTATTATACCAGCAGTGCAGTGCAGCAAACAAATCGAGTAAACACAATTATACTAGATGTGTTTGTTTAGCAGGGTTTCTTTGCAACCGTTTCGCCTAGGGTCTAGGGAGTTAGCAGAACAGGAGAAATCACGTTTAAACGGCTTCTCTTGATTTTTCTGCAGAACGTACCGTTCACTGAGTTACTAGTATTTTTGCCGTGTTTCACCTTCACCTAAGAAAGAAACCAGAAAATAAACAACCCGAGTCTTGTCAAACACACCGTAAGCCCACGGCAAGCCTGAACCTGAATCAGCTGCAAGTCCGTCCTTCCTCTTCCCAGTTGTGCTAAAAAGGGGTTTGGCGAGGTCATCGGGTTCCAGTACCGGCTCCTGGTCGCTGGGGACTGGAAAAACGGCTGCCGGGCGGCGGCTGCGCGGAAAAGATTTGGACAGCGATAATCAGCCGTTGGATGCGCCCGGCGGCTGCTGTTCGGTGGCTTGCAGATGCAGGGAGCGGAAACGGACTTTGACGATGATTACAGTCTTTTTATTTAAATATAAGAAAGTTCTGCTCGATATTTTCTTTATATACAGAGAGAGTGACCATCGTTGCCATTGCCGTTATACCATGCGATTTTCAACTTTTGGAAGGTGTTTCTATTGTTAAAAATCAGAACGCTAACTAAACACACTAATCCAAAACTGTTTTTTAAAAGCAGCTGCTTTCACGTAGTATAACTTTTACAACACTTTAGATCATGCTTTTAGTTTTCAGGGCCTGTTTGGAACAAATGTTTTTCATAGGAAAAAAGAAGGAAACGAAAACGGAGGAAAGGAAGACGAGGAGACCGTTTGGAACGAAGGAAATGAGCGGACCCTTTCCTCCGGAAGCCTGTAGCAACAACACGGTTTCACAGGAAAAAAAAGCATCTGCTCTTACCTCTGGTTTCGTTTTCCTTCGCGCTTGCCCGAGGAAAATCAAATAAGAAGAGAGAATCGAGCAACTAATACAGTATATATTATCATTTCATTAAGCACTAATAATGACTATAGCATTCACAGTCTTATAATTCCTATGCTATGTATTCCTACGTTCCAAACGCCCATTCTTAGTTATTTCCTCTGTTTTTCCTTTCCTCTGTTTTACCACTACATATTCATCCCATTCCTGTATTTTTTCATATTCCTATGTTTTCAATTCCTGTGTTCGAAACAGGCCCTCAACTTTTTCAGATGGAGCTATGTGATACAGAGTTTTTCATCCTTTAAGTAACTCCAGCGTCTCTATTTTTGAGGGTCGAGGGCAAAAATCAAGCTCCACAGGGCCTATACTTAAGCCCTCAAATCTTCCCTTAGACCTTTATTTCTAAGGAATCACCCCAAGATGTATAGTTTTTAGTTTTCATCTGTCTTTCCACCTGTTAATGCATGGACTCATGCCAGCACCCCCTCCCGTGTGCCGCTCCACCCCTGTCGGCTTCGATTTTGACTACTGGATCCACACTCTCCGCCAACCGGAATTGGCTCCCTGATCTTTTGCGCGCCCTACACCCGCTTTTCCCGTTCCATTTGGGCTCGCAGGAACCCTACCGTTGGGCATGTCCTCCAAGCCTGGCTAGCATCTACCTCCTATATTCCCATAGTTCAAGCTCCGATCGGCGCTGAGCAGCGACCACTCCATACTCTGGTCTTCCCCGAGTGTCACCCGATCTCAAGTCGTCCCTAGTTCCAAGCTGACTCGAGCTTGAGCTCCTCAGGCCACCCACACCCACGATGTAGCTCTGACGACCCCGACTTCGGCTAGCATGTCCACAACCTCCGGCCACCGCACGCCAATGTCCGACCACTTGTCTTCCTTGAGGTACAACTCAGTTTTGCCACCCCACACCCGCCAGCACCCGACCAACCGCCGACCGGCGGATATATATATAGAGAGAGATGTGTGGAAGGAGAAAACAAAGAAAATAAAAAAGAGAAAAAGGTATGTCAATTGCGAATGGATCCTATATATCATAAGAAAATAGAATCCTAATTTGAAACTCTTATTGTAGTTGAGTCTAGAAAACCAGGCCCTCAAAATTACGAAGTCCTCATCAAATAAAAAATAAAGGTCCTGATTTTAGGACTCATGCTGGACCACTGTCAGCTCTTGTAGACGCCAAAGGCTGCTTTCTTCTTTCATTGATTATGTAAGATATGATTAGTTAACGTCTACTCCGTACATCCCAAATTAAACTAGTTTGAAAACGACTTCAATAAACTAGTTTGAAAACGACTGGCACAGGTCAACTTGATGAACATTGCTTCCTTAAAAAACAATATGTCGTTGAACACACGGATTATTTAATGCAGTAAGCAACGTCCATGAGTAGATGGTACATGAAAAACTTCCATGACTTGTGGATATGGATCAGAACAGATCTACTTTAGTACGTAGAAGTAGTGATCAACTCAAGATTCTGTCTTAGATGTCCTCTTTCCATTCTTGTATCTTTGTTGGAGGACAAAACATGGTAGCTTAACTAATTGCTTCTGTTGTTGGAAACTTCTCTATTACAGACTACTAGTCTCATCAACAAATGAGCTCTAAGCTATGGATTAGTATCCATTATTGCACCAATGAGCTGTAAGTGGTTATGCATGTTCTACCGGTTACATAAATTTTGGAGTAATGCTAGCTTGTACGTGCTCTCT